CTTGAGCCGGTGAGATTAGAACCGCTGAACTGCAGATAACAGTCAGCTGAAGTGGCCTGCAGTACTGCACCCTAACCACTGCGCCACCTCGGCTGGCAGAATTGCTGGCAGATGTGCTGGAGGAGACCAAGCAGGAAGTCCTCTCTGGGATTGAAGAAATATTTAGAATATACACAAGTTATGCGAGAAGGAACAAGCTTCCCAGAGAGGTACATGTGAGATTTTCAAAGAAAGGAATGAGAGTGGAAATACTCCAAAGAGCAAGAGACGACTGAAATACAAAGGAAGAGAAATACCCAGAAGGGTAAGAGACACAAGAAAACAGTATCAATTTTTTACCAGACAATTGATAAAACATGATGTAAACTTTAGATGGCTAATACCTGAGGGAATATTGGTGACTTGGATGGAAAAAGACATAGATTAGACACAATAAATAGAGCAGAACAATTTTATTATCAGTACTTCACACTAGGAAGAAGAGAGAAAGGAGGAAATAGATGGCAAAAAAACAAGAGGAAACAATAGCAAAGGGGAACACAAAATAAGAAGAAACTGAAACAGAGGAAAAAGAGAGAAGGGAAAGAGAAGGAACAAGACAGAAAGAACAGAGAGAAATAAGATCAACTAGAACAACAAAACCTATCTATAATTAAACAATGGAAGAAGGAAAAAAACTACTATCAATTAATATAAATGGATTGAATTCACCAATGAAAAGAAAAAGGATTTTTAATAAATTAGAAAAATTGAAACTAGATTTAATTTGTCTGCAAAAGGTCCACATTAAAAAACAATATAGTAAACTATTAGAGTACTCCCCTCCCCCCCCCAAAAAAATTGGGAAACTATATTCTTCACTAGCACAGCAAAAGAAAAGGGGGGTGGCTCTATACATTAAAGAAACAATAAAGGCTAGCCAGATTTTTGCAGAAGAAGATGGGAGAATATTGATGGTGGAGGTAACAATAAATCAAAAACAGAAGTTATTGATATTGATATATGCACCTAATAATAAACAAGATGAGTTTTATGAAAAACTCCATAAGAAAATTATAGAACTGGAATATGAAAATATCTGTGTAGTAGGAGACTTTAATGCAATTGTAGACACAGAACTTGACTATAAGAGTAGTAAAACAGGTTAAAAAAAACCAGGAAAGCGCACCCCAAAACTTTTTTTCAAAATGATGGAAGAAATAGGAACTCAAGATGTATGGAGAGAAACGCACCAGAGGTGGGTTCCTATTGGTTCGGTCCAGTTCGGCCAAATAGGTAGTGAAAATCGGCCGTACCTTTCTGAACTGGTAGCAATGGCAGCCTGGCCACGCCCTCATACCAGTACAGGCCCCTGGCCTGTCCCTGCTCACTCCCCCCACACGCCTGGTTGCTGCTCTCTCTCTCTCACCCCACCCATTTGCACCATGCTTGCCCCACCCGCCTAGCTGCCCACTGCTCAATGACTCACTGGCTCACCAATCGCCCTGCCTCTGAGAGCCCTATATATACCACGTGGTCACCACGTGGCCCACTACCTGGCTTCGTCCTCACCAGCTGTTGCTGACTTCCTGATCCTCACTGACTTCCCGGCCTGCCTGCCCTGCTGCGTCCTCCTGCAGCTGCCTAAAGGTAAGTAAGCCTACGGCTGCGACTTCACAGGGTGCGGACGGTAGGGGGGTGGCAAGAACCTACCGAGAGCACTGGCGGCCTTTCATGGGGACGTGGGGACGAGAGCACTGGCGCCCCTGGGGACGTGGACAAGGCCATGAGAGCTGTGAGTGCCTCCACCTGTGTACTGGACCCGTGTCCCTCCTGGCTGGTTGCCAACAGCAGTGANTCACCAGCCATAAACCTCACCGCACATCACTGTGACTTATAAACTCAGAGTGTCTTCCCACTGGAAGCCTTAACTAATCTCTGATGCTAGACTTTTTTATTGAGCAGTGTTGCTTTGGCTTCTTCAGTAAGTCATATGATCCCCACAATAGTCCTTCAGTAAGCTTCTTTGTAGGCCTCAGCCACTATATGTTAGTCCCAATAGATAGACCAGACCAGAAAAATCAATCCCAGAATTATATTGTATTGGGATGGACTACAGCTCCCTTTACCTAGGCAACAGTTTTGGCATATTTCTGTCAAGGTCCCCTCCATTTCTCTCTACAGCAGGGGTATCAAACTCATGTCACCATGGCAGCATCACATGATGTATCAGGACTTTTTTCCTCTTCACTAAACCCGACGGGGTTAGGGTTATGGTCAGCACATGATTTATCTGGCCTGGGAATTTGACAGCCCTGCTCTACAGTGTACTACTTATATCACAGGACAGATCAGAATACAACATCATATAGTCAGAAGGAGGAATTTAAAATGGTATTAGATTCAGAAGAAGTTGCTAACATATTTAGAATCAGATCCCAAATTAGAATTAAGAGGGTTTTGGAAAACTAATAAAGGAAACTTACTAAGAGAATGTGCTGTATAGAAAAGAAGGTCATGATCCTAATTCATGGGAAGAAATAGAGTGGCTGTTGACAGCTGAAGCACAGAAATGGAAGAAAACTGCATTGGAAAAAAATGGAATCTTTGCACAAAAATAGAACATACAGTAGATTCTTACAGAAAGCAAGATGCCATAAGCAGTAGATGAGTTTTCGAAACAAAGAACACTGCCAGGGAAAGTGTGCAATGGCACCAAGTGTGTTTAGTAGCAAACAGCTACAGACAAAAATACAAGTTCATGAAGGTTTTTGCACCAATAAAATATGTATTAGAATTCAACTAAGCATAGTAGAATTTTAAAAACTACATGTGAAGAATTATTTAGAGAGTCTTTTTGCATCATGAGCCGAAAAAGGAGATTTACATCAACCAGATTTTTAAGAACCAATAAAAGAAAAAATAGCATTTAAATTGCAAAACTCCATACATGGGATAAAGCAAGCAGGCAAAGCATGGTCTGATCAGTTATACCAAATGTTGCAAAGCAGTGTCTTTGAACGGGGAAATCCTGATCCATGTTTATATATAAGACTTAAAAATGGAAGGCATGTGTACCCTCACTGTTATGCTGAGGATTCAACTGTATGTGCAGAAGACAAGATAGAGAGCTGTAAATAGCAAATGTTTTAAATTAAGAAATGGAATTAAACATCTTGGAAATAGTAGCCTTTGTCTTGGACCTGTAGTAAAAAATGGCAACAGTCCACAGTACTTGTTTATTCAGAAACAAAAGGTAATAGACCTAGTATTAAGCAACAATTAGCTTTAAGTTTATCAAATTATAAACTTCAATCTCAAAGAGTCAAAAATAGTATTTATTAAAATGTTAAAATGTGAGAGAGGGAATCTGACACTAATCTATAGACTAATGGACACTCCTCACCTGGTTGATTCTGTCCAGCACTCGCACTTGGAGAGTACTTCTTCTAACCCCCATAGCTTTAAACTTAAACTGTCTGCCATGNCATTACTCTATAAATGGCACTTGCCAAACAGGTAGAATAAACTTGGCTCAAATAAGATCACTCTCTGAAAAGAGCAAGGTATTTGTTTTCTTTCCCTTTGCAAGCACCCACAGGCAGATGAAAACTGATAAGCTGCAAATTCAGTCCCAGCGAAGATTTTTGCACACCTCAACAGAAAATTAGAAGGCTATTCATGTAGCAACATGCAAAAAGACTAATCCATTTCAGAGAACTGGATGGACATGAACAGCTAAAATGCAGAAACAATGTATATTAAACAATGAATATTTACTCCAAGATTTCCCTATTTGGGACGACTTGTGGAGGTCAATGAAATACAAATAAGGATTTGCTTTTCTGTATGCAGGCGCAGAATAAAATAAAAATAAAAAATACATTACCTGCATTACCAATTAAGCATTGCAATCTAGAAATAATGAGACAATGAGAAAAAAGAGTACAAGAATTTATTCAGTTCAGCGGACAGATACATAAGATAAGAAGTGAAAGAAGTTTCTTTCTCTTTTTTCCCCCCTAGCATTTTCCTGGAAGTGCAGAGTCTGTTTTATTTTGGATCAACCAAGAATTGATCCATTTAGTTACAGCAGGAATTGATCACACAGCTGGTTTCCATGCCTAAAGTTGGTCTAGAATTCACTCTCCGGGTTTCTAGCTTAGTGCCTTAACCACTAGACCAAATTGGTTCTCTTGAAGGTCTGAAAAATACATTATAGCCAATATTAAAAAAAACATCCTGCTCAGAGTCTAATGTTCAGGAAGAAAATATTTTGTAAAAGGATAAATTTCTAAAATATAGAAAAGAGGTTGCTACTGATTTTATTATACTTTTAATATATGAGATTATATACACAAAAATTGTAGAAAAATGCATACATTCCATATCTCTACAAAAACCCCTCCTAATAATATTCAGTATCTGCTTTCAGTATGACTAGCCTTTATTTTACAGATTGTTAGTATTCTTCATTCTTGGTTGTTGTTTTCTCCACCATTATCTTATTTCCCTAAAAGCACAACTTTCACCTTCAAGCATTGTCAGGCATAAGCACAGGAAATAAATGTCTCAACTTACCACATGATTTATGCTTCTAAAGCTAGCATCTAAAAGGATCAGCTTCCAGGGTTCCTCCACATTCTCTGGTAAAGGCTTGTAGATGTAGTAGGCTATCAAAGTTGAAGCTACCAGAAGGTAGAAGAATTTTCCTCCCATCTTTTACTCTGCCTACTTTATTCAACTCTCGCTTTCACTGACTAATGTCAGGAGGATTGCAACACTGACAAGTCATCTGATCAAGCATTTCACTTGATCTGAATAGTAAAGTTAGTGCCAGAGGCACTTTCTTAAATATTCACCAATCTTCAGTTGATAAAACACGTTTTGCTTTGGTGATTACAGCCTGAGGCAGTTCTTGATTATTAAAAAGCTTTTTTTTTTCAGGGAAACTGTTTCTATATTCAAATATTTAAGGATAGCTGCACACTTTCTTCACTTTGCCCTGGAAGTTGCCTTTGAATTGCAGAACTGAAATTATAAATTGAAAAATTGCAGGAGAGAAAATAGAATTTCTGGCTTTACAGAATGTAAATCAATAGAAAAATCCTATGATTCAGATTAATAAAATAAAGATGCCATCACACTGAGCAGTTTTCTTGTTTAAAGAAGTGATTAGTTAATGCCGTCTTCTGAGCTGTTCTCTTGCATTTAATAAATAATATTTAATTAAAACATTAATTATTAAAATTAATTAATATTCAAATGTATGTAATAATATGTTTAGGATATCTTCTGCATTCTACTAGCTAAGTAAGACTAGATAAGAACAAATTTACTTTGGTTGAATGATGTTGATGATTCAAAGTTATGTGAAATCACCACTAATAGTTCTTTAGCTGGTGTTGATCTTTATTTTTATTGACTTGTTCCCAAGAACCGAGGAAGTCAATACGTATTAGCATAGTATATGAATCAAGCAAAGTGCCTTTTGTGATTGACATAATTTTTGTCACATGTACAGATCTTCTAAGTGCCACCCAAGACTTTCTGGTATGGCACTTAAAAACCCCCACATATTGATAAACTTGATTGAACCTTGATTAACATTATTATTACTTTTCCCAACTCCCTATCACTCTGGGTGGTTTACAAATTGTTTAAAATGTTATAGAAAGCAAAGAGCAAAAGATAAAAAATGCAGGAAAAAGCTGCCAAGAATGATAAAACCCAATGAAAACAAAAAACTCTAAAGGATATTCAGTGACCCTTCCCAAAGAGTCAAATCCTCAAAGACCTTTGAAACCCCAGTAGAATGGGAGATATTCAAACGTCAGGGTGAATGTGAACTCTGAGCATTGCTACAGAGAAGGCAGAATTCTGGATTCTGGAAATATGGCATTGTTTAGTCGAAGGAACCTGGAGCGAACCAACCCTATCAGACAGGATTGAGCACTTTCTATGGGAGGCAAGTAATACCTCTATGACATGTAGGGCTGTGACTCATACAAGGGAACAAGCTGATAGTACAGCTCACAAAAGAGGGCCCTACATGGGCATTCTGAAGCATGTCTATGCTGCTGTATTCTGGACCAGTTGAATCCTGCCAGTAGTCTTCAAGGGAAGCCTCATTGCAGTAGGCAGGCCAGAAGGGATATGAGTGATTGTATGAAGTACCGGTATCCCCTAATCTAGGAAATGTTGTTGGTATGCTAACAGGTACTGATTATGTGCAGTGAATGCAATTTCCTGCATTTGCACAGCACTAGGCTTAGATTTGCACAATGTCATTCCTAGTGATTCATTCTGCATATTCCTTATTATTGGCTTGCTCCCTTCCCAAAGAAAATTTTGAGCCATTGACATCTCTGTACTTCATTTTTATTTGTGGCTTCATAAATTAAAATTAGAAGATTGCCTTAAATTTGCAAAGGAAAGAACTTTCTTCCAAGGAAGCCCCATAGACATTCATAAGAGCTCTCATAACCAATATTGTAAGAATATCTGCTGATAATGATCCCATGAATTGTGGGAGTAATAGTTAAATAAAAGGGTTTATTTTAGGCAAGGGCAGATTAATTGGTGAGAAAGGAAATAATGTTAACCAGCTCATTTCTTCTTGGCAATGAATCATAAAGGTTAAGGAATCTTAACATTCCCCAAACCCAGTGATGTGCGGTGAAGCTTCTGCCTGGTGAGGCAAAAAGAAAGAAAGCGGTTCCCCCCCCCACAGCAGGCTGGAGCGAGAGCCGCGGTCTCCCAGACAGCAGCCCCAGGAGGAAACGGCGAAGAGGGGTGGGGGTGTTCCAAGAAGCTCCCTCCCCTTTTTGGCACTCCGCAAGGCCTGCCGCAACGATTCAAGAACTCACAGGTTTTAGCTCAGAAGCAGGCCGAAAGTCAAACTACAGGATTTCCAGATGGCTCTTAAAAAGCTTCAGGGAGCTAAAGATGACAACTAAATTCTTAACCTGGAACGTTAATAGCTTAAATTCACCACAGAAAAGGAAGAAAATAAATCATTATTTGAAACAATTTAAGAATGACATAATTTGCCTGCAAGAGACACATATTAGATTAACTGACCAGAAATATTTGATAAATTCAAGACTTGGACAACACTTTGTAGCCTCCGCCCCAGAGAAGAAAAATGGTATAGTTATTTACTTAAGAAAGGACATGAAAGCCAAATTAATTGAAGCAGATTCCCAAGGAAGATATATTGCAATAGAACTGGTATTAGAAGGGAAAAGGATGCTTTTAATGGGAATATATGCTCCCAATCAACAAGAAGACAATTTTTACAAAATGCTCCATACTAAGTTAATACAGTGGGACTATAG